ACTACTACAAACCCAATGAGGAGTTCTGGGCCGATGAGAACTGCCGCTCTCGATGCAGGTGTGACCCCAGCCTAGGCACGGTGGTTTGCCAGGAAAGCAGCTGCAAGAGCAATGAGCGATGTGTCATTGTGAACGGTGCCCACCGCTGTAAGGCGACTACCTACTCTACCTGCATAGGTACTGGAGACCCTCACTACACCACCTTCGATGGGAAGAAGTATGATTTCCAAGGCACCTGCATCTACCAGTTCGCGGCTCTCTGCTCCAAGGACCCCACACTCATTCCGTTCAACGTCAAAGTGGAGAACAACCACCGCGGCAATAAGGCTGTGTCCTTCACCAAAACGGTGACCTTAGAGGTCTACAACGTGACCATCAGCATGAGCCAGGATCATCCACGCAAGATGCAGGTAAGGATGCAGAGGCACTATTGGAATCGCTTGCAGGGCTGAAAACTTGCTGTCTAGTCTATATCCAGGAAACACAACCCAGGTGGTTTCCATCTTCCCATACCAGAGTTTGAACTAGTTGAATATTTTCACATACAAATATTTGGTTGAAAAATGACCTATTTTCGGTGGGAAGAAATTCATGATAATGATTAAATTTAGGGTGGAATGATTTGGTTTTTGAAAAAATGTTTGACGGGCACTAGAAATGCAAACTGGATCCACTTTGTTTTTCATCTTCCTTTCTTTTTTATTGTCACGTTTGGTCCCCTTTGTTTCAGGTTGCTCAGCCCCACTGCCACTGTCTGCCACTGTCATAGAGTCATTGAAATATGGGGCTGAGTGGGACCTCAAGAGGTCCACCTGAGTCAACCTTTTGTTTCAAAGTGTCATTTTGAAATGATGTTCCAAATGTTTTGTTCAACCTGATCAAACGTGCTGGGGGTTCGTTTCGGTAAGAAAACCTGGCAGTTCAGTTGCGGTTTAAAACCAATCTAATTTGGGGGGTATTTTTTCGATTCAGCCTCCGAACACTGCTGTTAACACTCAGAGGAGAATCTACCCGAGTGTTTGATCCAAATGTCCAAGCTCCTGAGTTCTGTAGCCCTTGTGCCATCAGCAAAATTCTTTGTCTTTGCCCTGACACCCCAGAGTAGAGGAGAGGCTAGCCACGTCATTTCAGCAAACTCTGAGGTCCCAAATGGTGCCCTCAGTTGTTATACCCTATTTGAGGGTTCACGAGAGGAAGACAGTCCTATTATTTCTATTAGACTTCCCAAATGAGCTCCTAGGTTTCAGCTCTCTCCATTTCTCTGTTGTTTCTATCAATATCCAGTAGCTGGTGCCAAGCTGTCCTGCAGTGGCTCAAGAACATGAGTACCAACCTCAGGCAGACTGCTAAGAACCAGGCACAGACCACAAACTGGTTGTGAGTTCTGTACTTAGATTTCACCCATCAAGTGTAAACTCCTCACACCCTACAACAGCCTAACCATGGAGTCACAGCCAGTCCCCGTGGGTACTCCAGTCTGTCTGCTACCTTGTGATAGATGGTCCCTTACACCAAAAATCACAACCACATTCAGGCTACTGCCACTCCCAAAGAACCTGTCACTTATCCCAGGTACCCAGTCCTATAATAAACTATCTAAAGACTTATTATAAAGGACACCAAGGAGTTATTGATAAGGTTAGAGCAGGAAAACAGATACACAAATGAGTTACAATCTTAAATTTCAAAAGGTAATAGAAGCTGTTGTAATAAGCAAGCTCTATGTCCTCTAGGCTAAGCGAACCCAGGCTAAGCACTGGGGATCTCTTGCTTATACCTAGTAAACCTTGCCCCTCAGAGTCCAAGCAGCATAAAGATACAGGTCCTTCTTTTTAGGGGGTTTTATCCCCAACCTCCTTTACAGATTCAGCTGATGGGAAGAATCCATTTGCATGACTCACCTTCGGGGGAAGTGGGGGGGCAGGGCGGGTGCCAAAGAGCAGAGCAACAAAGTCTTTTGTTCTCTTAATCATTACACAATAGTCCGTGTGGTATCCATGAGCCTTCCCTGTTGGCCAGCACCTTTTGTTGGAGACCAGCACTTCACACTAGTTAATGTCTCTCTCATGTCTGGTGATTTACACAGTAACAGAGGCTCACACTGCAAATGCTCAAATATTGCTTTACAATATGGGATATAGATGCTATAGGTGAGATTAAAGCAGGCAGCAACTCACAAGAATTCAATAGAGTCTAAATACTCAACACATTCTTATAATTCTATCACCTCTTTTACCAACACCAACACTCTGGTGAACCAGACTGATTCCAGCTACATATGTGTCAGTATTCAACTGAGGCTTGGGGACTTTGGCATGATCTGCCAGCATCGCACCTCCAGTGCCTCCCTTGGAATCCTATTGTAGAGCTTAACACCCCATATTTTTCCTAATATCTAACCTCAATCTCCCTGCTCCAGATTAAGCCCATTGCTTTTTATCCTACCTTCCGTGGACATGTAGAACAATCCATCCCCGTCCTGTGGAGTTAAAAAAAGAAAATGTGATTGATTCTATGCAGGCTCCTAGATAAGCGTCTTGGAGCTCCCTGTGTAAAGAGTTTTATGAAACATTCAGTTCTGGAAGTAGGTGGTCCAGGCTGCTCCATCTAAGGGTATGTGGAAGTATTGCAAGCTCCATGCATGCAGGAATAGACCATTGACTGTCCACGCCATGTCTTTTCCAGGTGGATGGCATTTTTGTGGACCTGCCCTTCTCCCACCAGCACAAATTCAAGGCCTACATCAGTGGTGTTCATGGTTTCATCAAGACCAACTTCGACCTGAGAGTGAGCTTCGACTGGTACAGCTACGCCAGGGTCATCATACCCAATACATACGCCAACGCTGTCTGCGGCCTCTGTGGCAATGCCAATCAGGACCCCAGCGATGATCTGACCATGAAGGATGGAAGTCAGACATCTGATGAGATTCAGTTCGCTGATAGCTGGAAGGTTGGTGACGTCCCGGGTTGCTCGTCTAGCTGCACCGGGGACTGCTCAGTCTGTAGTGAGGCTCAGAAACAAACCTACAAAGGAGGCCAGTACTGTGGGGTCCTCATCCGACAGAACGGGCCATTCAGACAGTGCCACGGGGCCATCGACCCAGCTCCGTTTTTTGATGATTGTGTCTTTGACACCTGCCACTACAAGGGTCATCGTGATACTTTGTGCAGCGCAGTCAGTGCCTATGTGACAGCCTGCCAGGCCAGGGGCATCCGGATAGGGCAGTGGAGATCGGCCTCATTCTGCAGTAAGTGTCACTTCCTGAACATGTTGCTATAAGTTTAATACAATCACAAACTGGCCAGTGAGCACATGCACCAGCACCCTCTGCTGGGTGGAATCAGAACTGCTCACCCATGTGTCATAGGCAAAGCCTTTCAAAAAACAGGGGGAGTGGGGACATTTAATAAAAAATTCCTAAATATTCAAGTTTGTTTGCATTTTGCAGGGCTCATAATGTAACAATTTTCCATTTTTCCAATTTTCTTTGTGATTTTTATTAGAATTTTGGACATTTCAAAATTTCATTTTTCCTTCTTTCTTGATCTTCTTTTGTTCTCTGTTTTTAGTCACAGTGCAATTAAATGAATTATAGCCAGGTTGTTTTTCTCCACTTTTCTTGTTTTCTTTTTTCCCCCTTTTATTACTCTGAAAATTTCAAAACTTCTCAGGAGTCAGAGTTTCATTTTTTTCTCTTTTTTCAAAGGATAGCAAGTTTTGAAAAGTGGAATAAGGAAAAATGAGAAAAATGGGGATGTGGGGGGGGAAGACACCAAGTTAGACATTATTCCTTGTACTGCATTCACTGGCAAAACAGGGAAATCAAAGATCTGACTATTTGAATTGTCAACACTTTCAACATTTTCAATTTTAATGAAAAATTGGAGAATTTTAAAAAACTGAAAGCTTTTTGTGAAAGCTTTTGGTTTTGAGAAAAACAACAACAACAACATTGTTTCATCCAAAACAAGTTTTGAATGAACAATTTTAACCTAACACAAGTCCAATAAAAAGAAAATCTCATGCCTGACAGTCCTTCACCCCACGACATCAAGAGAAGGGGGAAAAATAGAACTAGTCAGGAATTTTCCCCAAAAAATGTTTGTTTGTTGGGAAATGTCAGTTTGTCAAAACCAAAACTATTTGAGAAAAAGAAAAGAAGCAGAGTGCTGAAATTGTCAAAACATCTTGAAATCAAAACTTTTATTTTCTTGAGTCAAAATGACTTTGTTCTGAAATCTTAGTTCACTTATACTAAAAAATGTTTATTTTTTTAAAAAGGTCAAAATCTAAATGAAACATTTTGAAATGGTCAAAGCAGCGTCTTTCGAGTGACCAGATCAGAACTGGTTTCAGATTATTGCACTGTGACAATGCTAAACATTTCAGCTTTTTGCACCATTTCAAAAAGGGCCAAAATTCAGAATCTCAAATTCTTGTGGGAAGGAAAAAATTGTTTTCTGCCCAGCGTTAGAGAAAACATTGACTGTGACTTCAAAAATCAGATAAATCTAGTAGAGAACCACAGCCACATGACAATAACTTGCTAGACACATGGTGATTTCATGGTGTCATGAAGAGGGAGAGTTAAAGCACTTTGGTTGCCCTAATTGTTCATTTCCATGCCTCCGCACCTTTGGGTTGCTTTTCAGTTTAACTTTAACTCTCAATTTCCTGGGTTTACAATGCCTGGTGGTAGGATAATTGCAACACCCCTGTAATGCATTTTACCTTGAATTACTGATATGTATTCTCAGCCTTAGCATCATTTAACAAGTTTTCTCTAGAAACTGATATTATTATTGTCGCTGTTGTTGTTGACTGCACCCTGCTCTAACCTACCAGACCCCACTTCCCTTCCAGAGCTGGGGAGAGACCTTAGGTGTCCGGGCTCCCAGCCCCCCTGCTCTAACCCACCAGACCCCACTGTCCTCCCAGAGCAGTAGGCACTATGTCTTTTCCCAGACTTCTTCGTGTTAACAGAGATCTGCATGCTCAATCCAATGTTTCCTGCAGGCCTCACCTGTCCCCGGAACTCTCACTACGAGTTCTGTGGGAGCAGCTGTCCTGCCACCTGCCACAGGCCCTCGGCTCCAGACAGATGCGAGGAGCCCTGTGTGGAAGGGTGTTTCTGCGACGCCGGATTCATCCTCAGCGGAGACCGGTGCGTCCCCATCACGCAGTGTGGCTGTGTGCACGAGGGCAGGTACTACCAGAAGGGAGAGGAGTTCTACACCAGCGCCTCCTGCCAGGAGCGGTGCCGGTGCCAAGGCAACGGGGTCGTTGAGTGCCAGGCAGCCTCCTGCAGAGCCAATGAGGAGTGCAGGGTGGAGAACGGAGTCCTGGGCTGCCACCCCATGGACTATGGAACCAGCGTAGTCTCTGGTGACCCTCACTACATCTCATTTGATGGACGGGCCTTTGACATCCAGGGCTCCTGCGCTTACACCTTAGCCAAGGTCTGCAGCAGTGACCCCCGGCTGGTGGAATTTTCCGTGGTGGTTGAGAACGAGAGCACTGGCGGTGACCATGTGGCTCAGACGCGGGCGGTGGTGGTCTCCGTGCATGGTTACACCATCTCTCTGGAGAGGGGAAGGAAGTGGAAGGTGGCGGTAAGTCCCTGCTTGAGATTAGTCTCATTGAAGCCAAGTGAGTGACTCACACCATTTGTGATCCTGATGTATGCATGCCTGTGTGTGTGTGTGTAACCAGGACACCGCTGCTGAGTCCCCACTAGTGACAGGTGAATTTCCCTCTCATTGGCACAGGTGGGTGGAGAGCTCTACACCCTCCCACTGACTATGGACGACGGGAAACTTCGGATCAACCAGGAAGGGAACAACATCATTGTCCAGTCTGCCTCTGGCCTCCAAGTCTTTTATGACACTGCCTCCTACCTCCTAGTGTCCATCCCCAGCACCTACAAGGGACACATGTGCGGTCTAGCTGGCAATTTCAATGGTGACAAAAATGATGACTTCCTGCTGCCCAATGGAAAGAGCACTCAAAGTTTGAGCGAGTTTGTCGCCTCCTGGAAGGTGCCTGTTGATGGTGCCATGTGCTCCGATGGCTGCGGTGAGAGATGTCCCATCTGTGACGGGGCCCAGACAGCACCATACCAGTCCGAGAGCTCCTGTGGGCTGATCAGAGCCACCTCAGGTCCCTTCAGAGATTGTCACTCGCTGGTCAGCCCTGCCACGTACTTCAACCACTGTCTCCACGACATGTGTGCTACCAACGGGACGGGAGAGACCCTCTGCCAGAGCCTCCAGGCCTACGCGGCCGCATGCCAGACAACTGGGGCCAAGATCAGAGCCTGGAGAACAGCCTCCTTCTGCCGTGAGTTTATAGAGCAACCTACAGCCCTGGTCTTTCCATTGGCTTCATTAGCCCCCAGAGGATTTTTTTTCCTGATGGCAACTTAGAGCTCAGGTTTATTATATCTTGGAGTGTTTGTGGCCCCTCTGTAGCCACATCATCTTCAGCATGCCTGATTGCAATTTATGTACCTGTGTTTTTGATTGGTTTTGTCCAGCCAGACCACCCTTGGGTCAGATCTCCATGGGTCTTTGGGTCAGGACTGGAAGAACGTCGGTGACCCAATGGGGGAAACACTGTCCTCTGGCTCTGACTCCAATGTCTGGTGCTCTGGGACACTGAACGGCAGTAAATGCTATGGTTAAGCATATCTGAGGTGATCCCACCACTGAGTCAACCCACCGCAGCACCCAGCTCTGAGCTAGGTGGCACTGTGCTAGACAATGTAACTATGTCTCCAGTGGAAATTATTTTTAAACCTTCACTCCATCCTCTTTCTCTCTTGCTTCTCTCTCTCCAGCCCTTGCCTGCCCTCTCAACAGCCACTATGAGCTGTGCACCAAGTCCTGCGATTTCACCTGTGCTGGCTTGTCTGCCCCTGCTCAGTGCACCCAGAAATGCTTTGAAGGCTGCCAGTGCAACACTGGCTACATGTTCGATGGGGAGGGGTGCGTGTCCATGGACTGGTGCGGCTGCATGCACGATGGACGCTACATCAAGGTGGGTCCTGGCTGTTCTGTGCAATTGGTGCCTTCAGAGCCTTAGAATAACAGGGCAGAATTGGTAAAAAGTGTATGAGTTTTCTAAGAGTTTCCAGTGGACTCCACAAATAGAGAATGGAGTCCATTAGTATGACAGACCTAGGTTTCATTTTTCCATCCTCATTTTCTGGTATTTGATTTTCGTTTATGGTTCTCATTCTGTTCAGATGTCATTTCTGTGGCCTGTCATCATGATCTGTCATTGTTGCCCTCCTTCTTGACTGTGGTTGGTCAGCACCTTCTTCTGTTATCTTTTCCTTCTTTCTTTGGTCATCATGCTTATCCTTTATATGTTCCCCTTTACTGTGCCTGACTTGTCTACTTAAATGTTAAGCTCTTTGGGGCATGGGCTCTCTCATTGTATGTTTGTACAGTGTCTGGCACAATGAGGCCTCATTCTTGACTGGCCCCTAAGCACTACCACAATAAATACAAAATAATTGTCCTTGTTTCTTGAGTTATGTCCATTGTCTTTTGTCTTTTCCTTCTTTATTGGGTCACCACTGACATCCTTTGTCTTTTCCTTCTTTCTTTGATTGATATCCTCTTTGGTTGACATTATCATCATTTAAAGTTTCAGTGTTTCTTTGATCCTCACCATTGTCCTGTATCTTCTCCTTGTTTCTTGGGTCATTGCCTTTGTCTTTCTGTTCTTTATTTGGTCATTCTCTTCATCCTTTGTCTTTCCCCATCTGGTCTTTAGTCTCCTCTTGGTGAGAGTTTCCCTAGGTATTCTGACACTATTGCTGTTGATCTTGGGAGGCTAATATCTGACCTAACAGAAAGTTTTAGAAAGTTGTTTATTTTGGAATTTCCCTCAGTCCAGGGAGAATGTCATCTCCAGTGACTGCTCAGAGAAATGCACTTGCCACCCATCAGGTGGGCTCATCTGTGAGAAAAACAGCTGCGCCACTGGCGAGATCTGCGTGCTCAGGGATGGGATGCATGGATGTGTGAAGCAGGAAGGCCGGTGCATGGTCTCTCCGGGCGCTTACCTCACCACCTTTGATGGTGCCAAGGGGAAACTCCTCTACAGTGGGACGTACAAAGTGGCCTCGCTCTGTGACGAGAGCTCTCCTGCCTGGTTCAAGGTGGTGGTAGACATCAGCGAATGCACCAATGACGGAATACCAGCTTGTGCGGTCATCTTTGTTTTTTTCCGAGAAGCTCTTATCACTGTGAACAATAACATGGAGACCTGGGTAAGAGGGGGCCGGCTGGAACATGCTGAGCCAAGGGGGCAAAAGCTTCCTACATCAGTTGGAGCCCAAGTGAACAATCCTTCACTCTGATCTAGTGTCTCCAAGGCCTTGATAACTATTAGTGAATTAATCCCCATAACCCCTACCTGGGACTAAAGTAAGGGGCAGGAGGGGGAAAATACCAGAGCTTGTTGGGAATCTTCAGACAATTTTTTTTTCAATCAGGAAATATCAATTTGTCAAAACCGAATCTGTTTGGGAGGGTCAATTTCAATAAATCTCCCAATTCAAAAAACTGTTCAAAAATTCGTAAAGAAATTGTTGAAACGTCCCATTTTGACCTTTTCTAAATGACAAGTTTTGGTTTTCAGTTCAAAACAACTTCTCATTTAGAAATGTTAGTTAATTTATAAAAACAAAAAAAGTTTAAACATTTTTAAAAATCAAAATCAAAACGAATCATTTCAAAGTTATGGAAATGAAACATTTTACTTGATCTGATCCAAAACAATTTTCAGATTATCAGGTTTTTTTCAACATTTTGACTTTTCTTCCCATTTGAGGATGGCAAAAAATGGCAAAATCTCAATTATTTTCATGGGATGGGAAAACAATTTCCCTCTCAGCTCTAGAAAATAGAGATCCCTATGTCTGCTGAAAGAAAAGGGCATGGCCCTATCTCTCTCTAGCTCTTTGAGCAGGGGGTTGGACTAGATGACCTCCTGAGGTCCCTTCCGATCCTGATATTCTATGATTCTATGAAAGTACCCTTCCCTATTGCTCTCGGAGAATGCAAGGAGATCTCCCACTAAGGTTTCAATTTGCTTTGACCATTGAATGGGACAGGCCTTAATATCCCCAGAAACACAGGCATAAACTGGTCAAATGTCTTGCCAAGGTCAAATAGGGAGTCAGCTGAGCAGTTGGGAATAGAACCCAGGAGTCCTGACTACAGGCTCTCCTTGCTCTAACCACCAGACCCCTCCCAGAACCCAGAACAGAGCCCAGGAGTCCCCCTGCAGCTGCATCCACTAGATCTTATTCTAGACCCCGTTGACTTGTAACATGGTCCATGGACTCTAGCTCAGTCCCTGCTACTCCATCTCACTGACTCCCACATCCCCCAGCTCTCCCCTGACCTCCCCATCTGTGCTTTCCAGGTGAATGGGCGCTCCGTGCAGCTCCTGGCAAACGTCTCCGATGCTGTGTCTGTGATCGAATCTCAGGGCGGTGTGGCCGTGGTCCAGGCCTCGGGGATGCAAGTTCTGTTCAGCCCCAGTGGGGAGGTGACGCTGAAGGTGGGTGAGAGCCTGGCTAACAAGCTGTGTGCACCCTGCGGGAACTTCAACGGCGACGTCTCCGATGACCTGCGGCTGCCCAGCGGGAAAATCGTGGGGAGCATCGCCGAGGTCATCGACGCCTGGAAGGCCAGGGACTTTTTAGGATGGTGAGTGGCTCTGCAAATGCGGCTTGTTCAGTCAGTGCCTAGCAATTTCTGCTTGTAGTTGGGATACAGAGTTGGGCTGGTTGTATAAACCCTGGGTACTAGCAGAGTGTAGGGACAATCCTGTCCTGGGACTAGCAGGCTGTAGTAGAAGGGGATTCAATGGGGCTTCTCTGTCTTTTTTGATTCTGTCCACAGTGACTGACGTGCAAAGGCAAGATGCTTCTCTGGCTGGTAAGTGACCTGCTCTTTCTAATACATCACGGCGTCAGCTCTGCATACATCTGATGGTTTAACTGGGCTGGTTTCATTAACTCTAATTGCTTTACAATAAAGTTTTCTGTGACTTAATTTCCTAGGTTTTTATTAAAGCTTAAGCATGGGGTTGGATGCTGGGCAAAAGGTTGCAATTGATCTATGAAGGGAATAAAAGGGAGAATAGAGTCAACCCATTTAATCGTAAATGTCTTTTTGACCAAACTAGAAATTTCCATGGACAATTTTTGCTTTGGTCAAAATTATTTGGGTAGTTTAGGAAAAATGTTTGAAACTAACCTAACTGAAAACTGTTTAAAAAGGTTATTTTGTTTGGAGGCCATTTTTTCCCATTTGGTTATTTCAGCCCTTTCTGTTCCTCTTCTACTGGAAAAATGGAAAAAAGGGGAGGAGTAAAAAAACAAAAAGAAACAAAATGTTTGCATTTGAAATGAAATTAAAAAATTTGAATTCCCCCCAGAAATTTTTTGAAACAAAATGTGTTTCTTTTGTGATTTTTCATTTAAATTAAAATGTAATTTTAGTAGGAGAGCCCCTGATGACAGATTATTTTATTCATCAGCAATAGGACATCAACAAACCTCTTTCCCATTGTAGGGTAAAATCAGATGGAATAGCATAGACCCTGACAGAGAAATCTTATATGTTCACATAGTCCCTGAAGCTTAATTGCATATAGTCCATCCCATCTAGGGGGCATAGGACTGGACAGGACCTCCTGGGTCATTGAGTCCAGTCCCTGCTATCACAGGCTAATATGTCCTATAATTCCGGTCATAAATGTATTAAGCTCCATCTAACACTAGTTAGGTTGTTTGCCCTCATTCCTTCCTAAACGTCACTCCCCTAGAAATCTCCTGCTAATTTCCAGCCTAAATTTGTTCATGTCCATTTTATCCCCATTTGTTTCGGTGCCAATATTGTCCTTTAACTTCAATAGCTCCTCCCCCTCCCTGATGTTTAGTCCTTGATGCATCTACAGAGGGCAATCATATCTCCTCTCATCCTGCGTTCTAAGCTAAAGAAACCAAGCTCTTTCAGTCTCTGCTCATAAGATAGGCTCCATTCCCCCTGATCATCCTCTCACCCATCTTCTGCACCTGTTCCAGTTTGAACTGATCTTTCCTGAGCAGGGGTAACCAGAATTGGACACAGTATTCCAGATGAAGTCTTCCCAATGCCTTATACAATGGCGCTAATACTTCCCAGGTGCATACAGTCCATCAGTTTTATGTGCATGACCCATCAGCATCAGTAGTGGAATGTCAAGTTGGAGATGGTATTATCTCAATGTATGGCATTTATGAGCTCATTCCTGGTATTGGGTCCAGTTCAGAGGTTCACACTTAAAAAAGAGATGCTGACAAATTGAAAAGGTTCAGAAAAGAGCTACAAGAGAAGAGGTGGACGGGAAATATTTCCTGTCCTGCAAAACTTCTCAAGATTTCAAAAAATTTCCCATTCCGCATTGAGACAAAACCAACACCTTTCAAAGTGTTTCACGGAGAGAAAGCTTCTCCCCAGACTACCCAGTAGTCTGGGGGTTAAGACACTTGCCTGCAAAATAGATGACCCCTGTTCAAGTCTCTGCTCTGTCATTCTCCAACATCCCAGGTGACTGTCCATCCCGCCAGGCTCTTGGCTTTTCTGGGGTCGGATCTTTTTCTGGTTCTGGTCAGAAATTCCATCCTGGACCTGAGAAAACTATCTCAACAAAAAATGTGTTGTTACTGGTTCATTCCCATGAAAAGTTTTGGTTTTGGCCGGTCGGCATTTTCTGAAGAAAACCTGTTTTGTCATAAAGTTCCTGACCAGTTCTGCACGAGAATGATCCACAGTCAGGAAATCCCACCCTAGAGCGAGAGACTAAAGGAGC